CTCTCTCTCTCTCTCTCTCTCTCTCTCTCTCTCTCTCTCTCTCTCTCTCTCCTCCCGCCCCCCCCTAGGAGTCTTTGTTCGGTGTCAAGCTGGTTCAACAGAGAGAGAGAGAGATCCCTTCTCTCTCTCTCTCTCTCTCTCTCTCTCTCTCTCTTCCCGCCCCCCCCTAGGGGTCTTTGTTCGGTGTCAAGATGGTTCAACAGAGTGAGAGAGAGATCCCTTATCTCTCCTTCCAAATCTGTCATGACTCCATCGGCCGTTAAAAAAAACTTGCGCAGGTCATTAACAACTGCATGATCAGAAAATCTAAACGCGTGCTAGGCTTTGGAAACGAAGGAGAAAGACAACGGACGGCTTCACAGAAGGCGAGGGGAATGACGATGACGAACCCTCTCTGATGCCATCGACCTACAGATTCCTTTATCCTTCGACACTTTCCGAGGTGTTGATCCTCAAAACCCTCTCCCTCTCTCCTCTCACACACACACAAGATTGCCTAATCCCAAACCATTTTCCCGCCAAACACAGCGAGCATAAGTCTCGCTTTTCCCGCCAGAATTCCCTCTCGCGCGCCCGCACTGTCCCGTGTGAACGGAAAATTCACCTCTCTCTCTCCGCTAAGGTGGGCGGGGAGAGGGACAGACAGTCAGGTCGGGGAGAAGAACAGAGTCTGTCTGGGCCAATCATTTCTCGAGGACGCCGCAAAAGTGAACCTGTCTCTTATACACATCTAGATGTGTATAAGAGACAGGCACTGTCCCGTGTGAACGGAAAATTCACCTCTCTCTCTCCGCTAAGGTGGGCGGGGAGAGGGACAGACAGTCAGGTCGGGGAGAAGAACAGAGTCTGTCTGGGCCAATCATTTCTCGAGGACGCCGCAAAAGTGAACCCGACCCGCCGCGGCTACTGTAGGTCCCACTACCAAAGAGAATTGGATTGAACGCCTGAATTTAGACGTGTCGGTGGACTGATGCAGAAAATCGAGATTGAACTGCTTTTCTGCATCTCTTCTCGAACCAGGACGTCAGATTCAGGAGATTGATCCAATCCTCTTTGCTAGAAGGACCTCGCCCCCGGCGAGCAGCAGGACAAAGCGAGGGTATTCGGCCTCGCTCCACTACTCAGCACGTGCGCAAAAGACAATTGTTTTTTATTTATTTATTTATTTATCGTGAACACGGTTCTGGCTGCTACGGGGTTTCCCGTATACCTACAATTAGGAGTGGTGGTAGGTAGGTAGTGTGAGGTGAAAGACAAAAATTACGGTTAGGGGAAGATTCATCCTCATTTTGCGCAATTGGCGAGTAGTGCAGCGAGGCCCAACGTGCCACGGGGGCAAGGTCCCACTTGCACGGATTAGGAGATTTCGGCCGTTGATCTCTCTCGGCTATCTACGGTCTCTATCTCTTAATTCGTGCAAGTGGGACCTAGCCCCGGGAGAGGAGGCAGCAGAAATAACGGGAAATAACGGAGGACAGGACGAAGCGAGCAAAAGAAGCGGAAAAGAGGGAAACGGGATCAGGGAAGGGGGGGAGCGGAGGGGAGGCCGAAAAGCGGGAAAGGTGAGCGAGGGAGCGGGGAGAGCGGTGGGGAGGCGGGAAATAGTGAATGGGGGGTGCCGAGCACTGGGCGGGTGAAGGAGACATTTCATTCAACGTACTGTTACGCAGGACCTCGTGTCCTGACCGCTCTCGGGAATCGGGTCCCAATGACGACACGTGTGCACTGCCAGGATCGCCAATCACTCCGGCAATACCCCCCAGCACCTCTCCATGTCCAATTACTACAAATGCCAGGCGGGGTGAGAAACTTTCCATTCCCATCAAATGTCCTTTTCGGGCACTGATTATTGACGCCTTTCTCACTTGAGTGCAGGCTTGTAATTTGGGCAAGACCAAGGGCTATCTTTAGTGGGCGTATGCCCATGAACTGTTGACAGTCAGACCTGTGGGTTCGAACACAGTGCCGACGGAACTATGGGCCTCGACAGACCACTGTCGAAACGAAAAGAGAACGCAGAAAGTGGTACGATGCATCCATTGCTATTCATTCATGGTAACGGATGTACGGGGGAAGAAGCATTCGTTCGTTTTTCGTTTCAACAGTGGTGTGGCGAGGGGCCCTATATGAATCGAACTCTTGAATTGTCTGATAACTTTTTGACAATATGGGGGGGCCGGAACCGCCCGGCTCCCCCTGCTAATTTTGCGCTCGGACCAGACTCGTTCCAATGGTGACCTGGTGAAGGCGACTACCACCCTGATAGCACCTTGGTAGAGGGTATACCGGACACCGTATGCTCTGTCATATCGGTCATGGCGGAAGCCATGGAGGAGATACTCGTAGGCATCCGATATCCGGACCCCACATAAGGTCGAGAAGTAGTAAGGGTGAAGACCAGATAGAAGAGTGAAGGTGAAGTAAGTAGTAAGTACTTCCAATCGAAGCGGAAGGAAGACATTTAGGGTTGACGGCAACCCGATCCCAGTAGAAGTAGGAAGGGACGAGGAAAGCAAAGATGGCGGAGATGAACGAAGTGAGGGAGGCGCGCTCCCCGCCTGCCGCACCAGAGCAGCCGATGGAGGAAGATGAGGATCGAATACGAGAATTAGCACGATTGTGCTATGATGAAGGAATCTTCACAGGATCAATAGATCCGGGTGAGATGACGATAAACGGGCACGAAGCAACATTCAGAGTCAAAGCAAGGATTGATCAAACAAAAGTGAAATGGTTGAAGAACCATACGGTGACTATGATCTTCAGAGAAGGGGCGCGATTCTTACCTAAGAAGGTCAAGGATGATGCGGTCAGAGCCTACGAAGACGACCGTCTACAGGATGGGGCGTTCGAAGCGACAACGTTTAGAAAAGCCAGGGTGAAAGTGGAAAGCCCGAACGTTGTATCCTACGTGGCGAAGAGCACTCAGGTAGAAGATTGGCTCATGATGAAAGGAAGGGACGAAGTGATGCTGGGCACGACGAAATGCGTGTTGGAGTTTAAGCCATGGGTCACACAAGCGCAGTTGAGGGAGCAAAGGAGACAGGAAGAGGAAGCGAACTTTTGGGTAGTAGTTGTGCAAGTGTCACTTGGTGCGATGCTATATTCGGAGGCACAAGTGTCGAAGGCTATAGGCCCAGTGATTCGTGCTCACCACCAGAACAGGATCGGCAGAATCCGTCTTTGATCAACCTCAAGTTTGACGTGGAGCCATCCACACGTCAAAATATGAAGGATAAAATTTCAGTTGTCATGTTCGAAGGAGACACGCTCACGGTCAACATGGCGTCATCGGAAACTCCACGATGTCGACGGTGCAGAGCTTTCTTTCACGAAGAAACACAGTGCAGACGAAACAGACAAAACCAACCAGGGTCACAAAGTACACAAGGAGACACTCAGGGAGCGTCAGGAAGACAGCCGGAGCACGTAGGGCCCTTGGGACCAGGCCAACAAGCAGTATGCACCGGTACAACCAGGACCGAGCGCAATAGGAGGAATTCAGGAACATGGAGCAACAAACAGCTACAACAACGTGACATATTCACCAGGCGGGAGAGGAGGTCCAGTACCGGGTCAGATGGGCCAAGCCCAGTACGCACCGGTACAACCTATCCCCTCGGCGTCCGAACCATGGACGGTGCCAATAGGAACCAACCAGCTCCCTCCACAAGGAGGATATGGAATGTTGTATCTCGTTCCGCAAGACAGGTTTGGTTTCAGATCAGGCGGAGGTGGCCCTATTGTTTGTGGTGGACCCTATGGGGGTTATAGAGGTACCCTCATGGGAGGCGGGCACGGAGGTGGCACCCCAGAAGGAGGCGGATTCAGCGGTTTAGATCCATACGGCAACTACGGAGGAGGAGGACCTGGAAATGGGGATCTGCAAGGTGGGAGAAGAATGACAACACCAACAACTGGAGTGAATGTAGGAGCATCGGGAGTTCAGTGGGAAAGAGGAGGTTTATCAGGAAAGAAGCACGAGGGGAGAAGAGGTGAACAAGCAAAGGCAAGGCATGTCAGGCAAGCAGAGAAGGTTGAGTCGGGAAGAAAGTGCGGCCTCTAAGATCAGAGGAGAACGATCAGAATCATCGACGTCAGAAGGAGCGATGGGAACACTAGGATCAGAAGGACACCGATACCAGTCGGAAGAGGACAACAAAATCAGATCGAGGCAAGGATAGTACTGTTGTTTTGCACAATTGTCAACGGCCAAATGCATTTCATTGCATGGGCACTGCACGATGCTTCAGTAAACATCCTCTCAATCCCCTCACCAGAATCGCTGATGCCAACAACAATCACCAATCTGTTGCAGTCAACAATACCGAGCAAGTTTATCTTTAGATTGATTCCAGATCTGACGATGCCAAGGCTGTTGGTCAACAATCCGGAGAATGGAAAGAAGGTAAAATTCATTACGCCGTTGATGGGTGTCAGATTTGCGAATGGGCAAATTGAGTTGTTGGAAAGAGATGAAGGAATGTGACTTCTCCCTATTAGCTGGCTAGTAGAGAAGAAGAAACAGAAACTGAGTCGGGTAAGGGTTCCCCCCATTAAGTCGATAGAGTTTTTTATGGAGATAGAAAGAAAAGTGCCAACGGAGAAGAAACTCCTCTCACAGGTCATACGAACGCATCTGATGAAACCATGGCTCACGGCTTCCGGAAATGGAAGTGAAAGACTCGCTGCACCACAGACGGTCCCCTCGATCCAATCAGAAGGGGCAAGAGGAGGGAATGGGTAGTTTGAAGGTTGCAACGTGGAATGTCACGGTGTGGGGATTGGGGGACTCGGGAGGGACGTTCAAGAAAGAGAGACTGAAGTCATGGATCCATGAAAATGGAGTCCATGTGATTTGTTTGCAAGAGACGAAATTAGGGGAGGAGAAAGTTGAGGCTTTGGGAAGATGGTGGGATGGGCCACAACCATGGTCCCCTGCACAAGGAACGAGAGGGGGAGTAAGGATATTGATTCACAGAAGATTAGATGTAGTTATCATTGTTATTATGCGGACCTTTGGGGCTGCTGGGCGTGGGTGAAGTTAGAAGTAGAGGGGGAGGAATGGTTGATAACCTCAATTTATGCACCAAACGATCAAAAGGAGTACCTTCTTCCAAGAATGAACATACATTATACCATATTGTGACAAGTTGATTGTGACAGGAGACTGGAACGTGACACTAGATAGGATAGAGACCGGACATTGTCAAGAGAGATCAATGGACGAGGAATAACTGATTAGTGTGATGACTGGCTTTGAGTTGATCGACCCGTACAGACTCACCCATCTGGAAGGCTCGGGTTTTAGTGTGGGGGTCATAAAACAAAGACTTGATTACTTCTTGATATCAACGAACCTCGGGAACTCGGTATCAACCATTTGTGAAGACCTACAGTCCTGTTCAGACCACAAACTGGTAACAACTGCCATTTCGTCAAAATTGACATCTTTTATTTTTTGAACGAAATTGAAACTGAGTTTTTTTTTGGCCGAAAACTCATCAAAATTTATTGTTCCTAAGGGTCCGGCGTTTGTAAAACGCGGACCCCCTGGTTGTACATGGACCTAACTTGAGACCAGGTACCTCAATGCAGTCCTGCCTAGAGGTGCCTGGTCTCAAGCTAGGTCCATGTACAGCCAAGGGGTCCAGCGTTTTTTACAAACGCTGGACCCTCAGAAACAACAAATTTTGATGAGTTTTCGGCCAAAAAACTTGGTTTCAATTTCGTTCAAAAAATAAAAAATGTCAATTTTTACGAAATGGCCGTTTAACCTTAACCTTGTCTACGGGTAGAGTGAAGAAGGGAAGTGGACTCTTCAAGTTTAATATTCAAAAAAGAACCTGGAAGACCCGAGACTGAGAAAGTGGATGGAGGATTTTGGGGGAGACTGGGAAAAAGTAAAGGAACAGTACCCCTCAAGGGACAAATGGTGGGATGCAGGTGTAACGATCTTTTCTAACCTACTCAACGTATTCTCACGGATTTTAGCTTGGGAAAGGAAGAAACAGGAAAGAAGGATAAAAAGAAAAATTGCATATGCAGAAGGGAGAATGGGCGAACACCCAATATCAAACAGGGTGTGGGGGAAAGAAAGGGCAAGGATGATGAAGGAGGGGGATGAACTCCAGATCAAGAAATCAGAGATCTGGGCAGATAGACTGCGAGTCAAAGGAGTGATAGTTTACGTTTGTATGACAAGAGAGTCGTTCCAAAAACTAACACCAAGCAGGACTTCAGTTTCCATGACAGAGCTCAAACATCCCTTTGATAAGGAAGTTGGTACAACGAAGGAACTGGCTGAGCTTTGCAACTATACGGCCCTCTATTATAGAGACATTTTGAAATCCTGACCTACATGTGGACAATGATCACAGGGAAAACACGGATATAAGACTATCCCAACAGGAAAGACTAGATCAGTATAGGCAGGTCACAAAAGACGAGGCCTATGAGCCCCTCAAAGCAATGGCGAAGAGGAAAGCTTCAGGGAATGATGGGCTACCCACCGAACTGTATGAAGAAATTTAGGACGTGGTTGGGGATTCCTTCAAGTTAGTGGAAACTTACAACGGTATTTTGATGGGTGGACGCCTGTGAACTACAATGTGCAGAGGTACAATATCAGTGTTGTTCAAAAAAGGAGAACGATGAGAAATTCGGAACTTGAGACCGGTCTCATTGCTAAATGTATCGTACAAATTTTAGCAAAGGTATTAGCAAGGAGGTTAGGACACTACCTCCCAGAGTTGGTAAAAGAAGACCACTGGCAGGCAGCGTTTATAAGAGGAAGATCGATCTTTGATAATATCATAACGGTTGTAGAGATATTGAAAATAGTACAGCGGGATAACCTAAACATAGCGGTACTAGTATTGGATTTGAAAAAAATATACGATCGGGTAAACTGGTCGTACGTTTTGACCACGTTAAGTGGATGGACTTTGAGGAGAACTTCATATTCTTCACCAAAGTGTTGTACACACTATCGACAACAGAAGTTATTATTAATGGAAGAGTGTCTGAGGAGTTCGCTCTGACTAGATCGATGTGCCAGGGTTGTCCTCTGGCCCCACTGCTCTTCGCAGTTCAATTTGAAGTAGTCCTAAATAATATAAGAGCTCACCCGCAGACTAGAGGAATGCTTGTAAGACCTTCGACATACAAAGTGAAGGCCCTGGCATACGATTTTCTTGCGGTAACAGAAAACACAACCACCTCCTTAATAAGGCTGAAGGAATGCTTGGAAGAATTCCCGAAACTATTGGAAACAGTTATAAACTGACACAAGTCAGTCTTCTTGCTGCCAAAAGAGTATGAACTAGAAGTAGAGTGGGGGATGAAACGCATTACGGAGGGCAAGTCTGAACAATTCTTGGGAGTACAAGTCTCACTGCTAGATTGGTCAACAGCACAAGATGACATCTTACTATAAAAGTCAATGCATAGGCTAGTTTCTTGGGGTAGAGCACCACACCTATCTATCTTCGGCAGATCACTGGTACTAAATAGGTCGTTGTTTACATTACTGTGGTTTGTGGGGACCATAAGGAAGATCGGTGAGCCTACCTACAGACTGATCAGACACAGAGCAACCAAATTCATCAGGAAACCATTTGCGAAGGACCAGGAAACCTTCATCTAAAGAAGTAGCATGGGAGATGTTGTGCCTGCCGAGAGGTGAAGGAGGACTGAGTATGCTAGATCCGAACAAACAGAACGAAGCTGTGTTAATGAAGTGGGTAGTGCGGGCATGTCTGGAGGAACCGGTACCCCATTGGGTACATCTGGTCGAAGAAATCCTAACTACAAAATGAAATTTAGCGAGAACTGAAGATATATGGACTTATATTTTCCTATATTCATATCAAAGAAGGAAAATCAAGTCCCCTGTTTGGACGACAATAATACAGGCATGGAGGAAACTAAGACCTGACACGTGGGTTTCCCAAACTCCGAAGGTAGAAGTCCTATCACAATCGATTTTCGAGAATCCTAACATTAGGAAGGAAGATGACCACTGGTTCGAAGCAGATACACAGGCATACAATTTCGGAAGGGCATGGATTGAGAGAGGATTTTTGAGATTGAGGGACATCTGGGACGGGTTCTTAAAAACTTGGACGACAACAGATAAACTGCAAAGAAATATAGGTCGATTGAGAAGCATAGAGGTCATACTGGGAGATGTAATCAACGCGATACCACAAGAGTGGAAGACTATGCTTTCCCCAGACACGGTGGATCCACCGGGAACTTGGTACATCCACGAAAACCTGGAGAAAATAAATTTGTCGGAGTTGCTGGAAACCCAGAGGGAAAGGGAGACGAACCTTCCAAGGATGGGAAATCGAGAGGGGAGGATAGAAGATAAGAGACAAAGTGGAAGGAGAACCGACTCAAGGAGCAACACTTTCCTAGGTCAAGGTGGTGAAAGTCGTGGACAACTGGAAAGTACTATTTGCAAAGGGCAAACCTGTATCAGTTATGAGAACAGACCCGAGTATGTGGGAGTGGAGGGCCGACCCGAGTA